GAGTGCTGGGATTAAAGGCGGAGGCCACTACCGCCCAGCTTTTATTTACTTTTTAAAATTATTTAGAGACAGCCTCACTATGTAGCCTTAGATATCATTTTTAAATTATGTTTATATGTGTATGTCCTCCTGTGCGCAGGGTCTTCAGAGGCCAGAAAAGGGCACTGATCTGGAGCTGGAGTTATAGGCAGTTGTGAGCTGTCAGATGTGGATGCTAGGAACTAAACTTGGGTCCTCTGAAAGAGCAGCAAGCATTCTTAACTACTGTCTCCCTGGCCTCTTGTGGCTTGTTTTGTTTGAAGCAAGATCTCACTGTGTAGACCTAGCTGGCTTTGAATTCACAAATGTCTACCTACCTTTGCCTCCAGAGTGCTGTGATTAAGGTGTACATGTCCACATTCATCCCTCACCGAAACCTTTGGCTTTTTTATTTATTTATTTATTTATTTATTTATTTATTTATTTATTTATTTATTTATTTATTTTGCTTTTCGAGAGGGTTTCTGTGTAGATTGTAGACCACGCTGGCCTCGAACTCAGAGATCCATTTGGCTCTGCCTCCTGAGTGCTGGGATTACAGGCCTTTTTTGTTTGTTTGACAGGCATCCTATTATGCATTGCATTTGTGGAGGTCAGAGAACCACTTGCAGGGAGTCTTTTCTCTTGTTCAACCACATGGATCCCAGGGGCTGAACTCAAGTTGTCAGGCTCAGCAGCAAGGACCTTCACCCCTTGAGGCATCTCACTGACCCATCAGCATCACACTCTGCCACAACATTTAAAGATGCAGCAGTCACCAGTCAGGAGCACACTGCTGCAGAGAGAGGTCACTGCTGCGGCAACCAGGCGGCTGACAGTAACCTGAAAATTCCTGAAAGGATGGGTGCTAACAAAATGGTCTGAGGTGAATAAAGGAGAGGAAAATGGGTGTAAATTGCTTCCACTAACTTTGGGAATGATAATAATTAGATCAGCAACCTGAAAAGGAAGCAGATTTTTTTCAGAACGGGGCTGGGGGAGAGGGAGACCAGGAACATGCTCATAAGCTAAGGAGGGAACCAAAGGGAGCCTGAAGATGAAAGGAAAAAATCATCAAAACAAAGAACAAAGAGCAGTCGAATGGGAGCAAAATGGGTGTTTCTCAAACAGGGGGTGAAAAAAAACAGCATTTCTTTCCTAGGAAGACGAGGTGAGGCAAACTGGTGGAAAAATACATTTGCGATGAGGTAAGGGTCAGTTTGAAGAAATTTCAGCTTCCATTTTTCCCATGAAGCACAAAGCTGAAAATAAGGTCAAGATGGAAGAAACAGCAACTGGTGGCATCTGTCTCACATGCCCCACCACAAAGGCCTTGGCGGGAAGGCCTCTTAGCATTTTGCCTTCGCTTTAGTACCAGATAAATAGCAAAGGCTCAAAAAACATTTACTGAATGAACAGATGACACTACTCTAAGCTCAGTTTTCAGGCTGTCAAAACACACACCTGGCTGGGTAGTGGTGGCACTCGCCTTTAATCTCAGCACTGGGGAGGCAGAGGCAGGCAGATCTCTGAGTGTTGATTATAGCCTAGTCTACAAAGAGTTCCAGGCTAGGCAGGGCTATACAGGGAGACCTTGCCTCAAAAATAGTAAAGTAAATAAATAAATAGAGCACATATCTGAGAAGATGGCTTGGTCACCAATGTGCTCACCACATGAAGAACTGACTTAAAATTCTTCAGCACCCAGTTAAAAAGCTGGATGTGGTGGCATGCGCTTGTAATCCCAAAGCTGGAGAGGCAGAGGCAGGAGGGTATCTGGAGCTCTATCATCTAGTCTTGCTGAGTTACTGAGGTCCAGCAACCCTATCTCCAAAAATAAGCATGAGTGTGTACCGTGCATTCACTGCACACAGGTATCATGCATACATAGCCAGAGGGGTAAACTTCCAATAATGCCAAATGTTAAAATGTTATATTTTAATGGTTACACAAGAGGCAATAAAAATGACTGAGTTAACCCATGATTAAGTATTGATAAGCAGGTAGGTACAAGAAATCAAATAAGAAAGATAATTAGAAAGCTGCTAACTATAGTATAAACAGCTGACAAAAGATTTCTTTGAAAGGTTTAGAGGAAATAAAACCAGTGGGTTAGAATATTAAGGAGATAACATCTATTCAGAAAGACCCACAGTCCATATTTAATGTTAGATGCAGGCTAGTATTACATAAATGTAAAATGTTATGGCAGGCTGCTGAGATACCTTAGTAGGTATAGGCACTTGCCACCAAGCCTGACAACCCCAGCTCAATCCCTGGGGATACACAGGTAAGAGAACACACTTCTACAAGTTGTTCTCTATCTCCACGCTCACACTATGGCGTATTCACTCACCCACATACACACATACAAAATTAAATAAATGTATTAACATTTTTTCATTTTTTTTTTTTTGGTTTTTCGAGACAGGGTTTCTCTG